GATGAGCATATTTCAAGACTCCCAAATGATTTCAACAGGTGGCCAGTTGAGAATCACAGACAACACCAGGATCAGTTCTCCACAAGTACAACCACTTCATCACGGCTGTGTGTCTGTTCTCACATATTTTTCACATAGGACAAGAATTAAAGACCCTAAGTCTGAAGTCGGCAGGGCTGGAACCAGCTCCACCACGTACCAGCTGCGTGAGATCTGGCAAAGTAGCAAACTTTTGGGAGCTTCACTTTATTGTCTAAAATGGGAATAAAATCAGCCACCTCAATTGGTTGTTGTGAAGGCTATTCATTCAATACCTATTTTTTGAGCCTGTGTTTTGGGGACAAGAAACAGAATGAGATTTGAGAGGGTCCCCTTCCTCATGGTGCGCAGCTGTCCCGGAGGGGAGGGGATGTTTGCAGTGTGCTTAGCAGTGTCCTGAGAACACAGCAGCCACTCAATAAGCGGCCACCACGGTTATTAGCATGACATTACCATGTTATTGCTGTTATGCTTCCCTCACTAGACAATGCTCCCCAAAGGCAAGAACTGTCCATTTATTTCTCCACCCCCTGCACAGAGTCCAGAGACTAGTATGGGCTCCATGAAGTCTACACGGCAGCTGGAGATGGTCAGGAGAGGGGTGGTCTTCTGGGAGGAGGGGCAAGATGGAATCACAAAGAGGGAAGCCCCAGCTGGCTCCTGACCCCAAGGGGGATGGGGAGGGCGGGGAGGGCAGGCCTGTCCTGGGAGGAAATGCTTTGCTCCACGCCTTCTGTGNGGGGAGGGCGGGGAGGGCAGGCCTGTCCTGGGAGGAAATGCTTTGCTCCACGCCTTCTGTGGAGGTGCGGGCGTTGGCCCCATCATGCCTGCCCACAAGCCAGGCTGCCACAGCCGACACCAGCGGACACACAGAGGCGTCCTTGTGAACCCCGAAAGGCCATGTGTTTCCCCGACCCCAGGCCTCCCCTAGCCACCTCCTCCTCACAGCCCAAACACACGCAGCCCTCACCCACCAGTGGACAGCCGGCCACACCCACACAATGTCCCCCTGGCACTGCTGGCCTGAGTCCTGGGCTGGTAACCATGGTGATGGCACCTTTGTATGTGCCTGTTTGGGTTTTTTAAGTGCTCTGGGAGGCAGAATTATTCTTCAGCGGAGAGTACAGGCAGCACCCTGGGATTCCCCGGGGAGGGGACGAGCCTTGGTTTCATCCTCTTAAGTCCTTGCACGCACTTTCTGAGAAAGTCATACTTTCTGCAAAGCCAAACTTCTGTCGACACCCTGGGAGGTCCCCAGGCTGAAGATGTCCCAGAAGAGCTGAAAGAGGCTTCTGCAGAGAGGACCCTCCTCAGCATTTGGGGGACTCTACCTGGCCCCAAATCTCCTCCCCCGGGGTTAGCACCCCCTTCTGCCATCAGGATCCCCCCAGAGTGGGGCACTCACATGCGGCTGCTGGGTGGGATCTTGCGGCCGTCCCGGAACCAGGTCACCTGCGGCCGGGGGAAGCTGGTGATGCGCGGGGCACGGATGACGGCTGCTTCTCCGTGGGAGACGCTCTGGTGCTTCTCACCCTCCTCAAAGCTCCCCATGTCTGCAGGGGAAAGAGTGTAAGGACGGATTGGGGGCCGGAGCTCCAACTCAGGCACTGCCCAGCTCCTGGGGTGGGAGCAGTGGCCACAGAAGGACGACGCAGACAGGATGACCATGCAGAAGAGGGATGCCACACTCGGACCACCCCCATCACCCCCTCCACTAACCCCTCACTACCACGCGCCCTGCTCTCCACTCTTGGGGTTTATATCCATTTACATCCACATGTCCTGGGATCAATTGATTCATCCAACGATCATGAGAGGTTGGTCGTTATTTCACACGTTTTACAACTGAAAAAACTGCTCCAATGGGCTCAGAGAGGTTAATTAACTTGCCAAAGGTCACACAGCTAGGAAGGGACAGAGGCAGGATGTGAACTCAGACCTCAAGCTCTGGAGTCAGGCAGAGCCGATCCTGCTTTCCTGTCCATAGCGCTGCTTTTGGCACCGCAGGGGTTCAGGTGTGAGGTGTGGGCAGGTCTTGGGGCCCTTGTGGGGAGGGAAGGGTGGGCATGCTGCAGAGAGTGGGGTCTTGGGTGCTCATAAACAGGTGCAAAGATTTGTCTCCTGTGCCTGGTGTGCAGTGTGTGAGGCTGCATGTATGTGTGAACATAAACACTGTATTGCTCTTTTTAAAGCAGGCCTACCCCCTTGGCAGATCAAGAAGGGAACATTTATCCTGGCTCTGATGTTCTGCAGCCAGGAGGAAAGTGGAGAGCAGAGGAGACACAGATAGGAAACTCTCCGGGTTGCCTGCCTGCT